GGCAGGGCGGGACATGAGTGGGTGGAGTGAGACTAGTTGGGGCAGGGTGAGGCCTAGTGGGCGTGAGTGGGTGAGGCGGAGGGCAGAGGGGACGTCAGTGGGCGGGTGGAGGGCTGGACAGGTTGTGAGTGGGCAGGGTGAGGCGTGAATGGGAGGGCAGAGTGGGATGTGAGGGAGCAGAACAGGGGTTGGGTGGTAACACGAAGGGCAGGACAGGGCAGGAGTGGACGCAGCAGATGTGATCGCCCTAGGGTCAGGAGCTACCATAGACTTGGAGCTGCCTGTTGAGTCCCTGGCACATAGTAGCCAGTGTGGTCCCTGTTCCTGGTGTTCACCTGGTATTCTTGGCCCTGGGGACATCTTGTCTGTCCATCTGGGCCTCCCTCCCATCTTCCCACAACTTTCCTGGCGGAACTGGGGCCTGTTTTCAAATTCCCACGCGTATGGGTAGGGGCACCAAGACCGCGCCCCTGTTGCCATCCTCCTGTGTCCTCTCCCTGGAAACGTCTCGTCCTCACCCTGTCTCAGGAAAGGGGCTGAGTCCCCTGAGCATCTATGTCTCACCAGTGTGGGAGGCTTGGAAGAGAGGTACACAGTTGGCGCTCAAAGCTTTGCTAGTTGACTGCATTTACGTGGGGACAGTGAGCACACTCTAGCGGGGAGATGATCGGAGATTCTTAGAACGTGTTCCCTGCCCTTCCACCCGGCCCGCCCCAAGGGGACCTGGGAGACCTCACGGAAGGAAGGACTCGGGAGGGGACGGTTGGATCGGGAAAGGAAGGGGCCTGGCTCCCCAAAGGACCCTTCCCCAGAGTTGCCACCTTGCGTGCTCTGCCCTTAGACACAGAATTCACTGGGGGCACCTGGCCAGCATCTGAGCACCAGGGACATGGGATGTCACCGTCTTGCCTTGGCCTGGGCCATAGGGCAACAGTCTGTCTCGGGAACCAAAGGCTCAGAGTTTGGGACCTGCAGTGATGGTCCTCCTGGCAGAGGAAGCAGGGCCCCCACAGCAGACAGGAGAACTGGGGAGCTAGCGCTTAGCCAGGCAAACAACCTGAGGCCTCAGCTTCCAGGGGCTTCTTGGCGAAGAAACAGGAAGCAGTGTTAGTGAAAAAAGAAAATCATAAAAACATTCCTGGATTCCTTTAAAAAAAAAAAACGGTAATGAGCCGGGCTCGGTGGCTCAGCCTGTAATCCCATACCTTTGGGAGGCTGAGGTGAATGGATTGTCTGAGCCCGTGGGTTCAAGACCCGCCTGGGCAGGCGAGATCTCATCTCTACAATAAATCAAAATAATTAGCCGGGCATGGTAGCGTGCGCCTGTAGGTCCAGCTACTTGGAAGGCTGAGGCGGAAGGATTGCCAGAGCCCAGCAGGTCGAGGCTGCGGTGGCCGGGAGCGGCCACTGCACTCTAGTCTGGGCGACAGTGAGACTCCAACTCAAAAAAAAAAAAAAACCAGTAATGATCCCAGTCCCAGGTCTTAGGGGTATCTTGCCTGGTGTGATGTTTGCTAAGCGCTTGCCCTTAAAACCCCCAGTCTACTGAAGAGTAAACCTGTGCCCTTCAGTGTGACGAGAACTAGGTCAAAAGCTCCCCACAGCCCACCCTGGGGACCCGTGGAGTGGGGGAGCATGGGACTTGGGGTGGCGCATTTCCAAACCAAGAACTGCTGTCCAACGGCCCTGCCATGGTGACCCACAGAGATGGAGCCAGGCCTTTCGCCTGCTTGAAAGCCAGCAGGCTACGAATTGCAAAGCCAGCTGGACTTAGACTGACCTTGTTCCTTTCTTTTTTGTCTTTTTGCCGTGGTGGCTGACCTTCCTCCTATCCTGGCCTTCCTTCCTCAAAGAGAGAGAATCCAGTGCGGTAAGTGTTGGCGCTCAGGACCCCGGGGGGTGGGGTATTTGGGGTGCTGGGAGGGAGAGGGGGACTCGGGGCTCCTGGAATGGCAGACCCAAGACCAGCCAGTGGTGTCCCTAGCTGGCATCTACATTCCCTGACCTGCTCTGGGGGTCGCGTTTGTCTCCCCGTGCCCAGAGCTGGGAGAGTGGCTTTGTTGCTGTGAGTTGGCGGCTGTGTCTTCATCTAGAGTCTCTGGTGGTGGCAGTGGTGGGGGGGTAGGCAGTTACTGTCCTAACACGGGAGCTGCTGTCACCTGTTGAGTGACCTCCAGTGGCGAAGTCCTCCTCCCTCCAGCTTTGGGTCTGGTGTTTGTGAATGCGAGAAGCTGAGCTCTCCCTCCCTGCCTAGAGACAATTACCCAGAGAGCTCAGCTGACCAGCCCTGACTTCCGTTCCAAGGCGCTTTGTGCAGTCACGGGCTGAGCCTGGGGCTCCGGACCCAGGTGTCCCTGTCTCAGACCCAGGTTCTTACCCGCCCCCCTGCCTCGGCTGCCTCCTGCGTGATCCTGTGTGATCCACGTCCTCCTGGCTTCTGCCAGACGCCCGAGGCTTCTCCCTGCCCTGGGCTTTCTCTGGGTTTAAGGAAGTGTTGGCAGGCGAGCGTTAAGGCCAGGCCGCCTGCGTGTCTGCCAGCTCCGAGATTTGTTGTAAATCTTTCTGATCACACCGAGGCTCCGAGGTTCTGTTTCAAGTGAATAAGCCTTCTGAATAAGCGCAGTGGAGTCTGGATAAAAAAAATCCTCCAGCGATTAGCAAAGCTATTTTATTCCTCACTGCCGTCCCTGTATCTGGGGCCATCTAATCTGTTAGGATGGCTTTGGTTATTACCTTGTGTTAAGTAGGACTTGGAAGGTCAGGCAGTTAACTAACCATCTAGACAGCAGCTTCCCCTGCGGCCTCTCCAGTCCGGCCCTCCCCAACCCGGGCTGACTTTCTAAACCTCCCTTTAGCTGGTGTTCACTTGCCTCTGGTCCTGCCTGCGCCCGTCAGCCCAGAAATCCAGGTCCAGGTCCGGGCCAAGGAGTGGCTGGGAACCGAGAGAGGAATCATTGGGGCTCCTCGGTGTTGATCCCAGCAATGGGGGTGGGGAGGGCCATTTTGCCCCATGGGAGGAGGGCAGAAGGAAGGGTCGGACACTCCAAGCTTTTCCAGACATCAGCTGGCCCTCTTGGCTGCTCTGAGCCTCAGTTTCTTAATCCGTACCATGAAAATAGTTCCTGTCTGTCTGGTCAACCTCAGCTGTGCCAGGAAAGAGCTCCCCTAGGACAGGACTCGGGGTTCGGATTGCCTGGTGGAGAGGGACCCTTGTGGGGACACAAGGGTGGGAAGTCCAGCGCTGTCTTTCTGTCACCCCCATCCTTGTCTCTGGTTCTGGCCTCTTGCCCATCTGTGAAAGGAACCCCCTGCCCAGAGCGCCTCAGCTGGTGACATACCCACATGTGGTTGGCTCGCAGAGCAGGGGACACACAGGCCACCGGAAGCTTGATGGGGACAAATCAGGGCGCCGTGCGAGGCGACACGGGCTGAGCTCAGGGTGTCACGCCTGTAGCAGTGGTGGTGTGGGGAGGGGTAGACTAGTCGACAGGCCTTGGAAACCAGGTTGTCAGCAGATGAGGCCAGGCAGGAAGGGATGGTAGGTGGGGGAGGGGCGCTGGGGAGGGCTGGAAGCCATCCCAGAGGGGTTAGTCTGGAGTCCAATTAGAGGTGGCTTCATTCATAATTCCTTGCCTCGCCGAAGCAATAAAAAATACTTAGTTTTCTGGCCGCCTGCCAGCCAGAGGCGGGCTGGATCGATGCCGCTAAATGCCTGACATGACTCTCCCGGTAGCGGCTGGGTTTTCAGCCTGACTGCAGGGGAAGAAAGGCTTCGCTGTTCCCCTGCGCACACTGGGTCACCCAAAGAAACAGCGGCCGCGCCCCCTCCTCCTTCCTGCTGCCAGGGGCGGCTGGCCGGCTGGGCTGGGAGCGGACTGGGAGCGATTCTGCGGAGCACAGGGTGGCGGCCACCATTGGAGGAAATGAAATGATGATTTTTCTGCCGGCAGTGGTGCGGCTCATTGAATTGCGGCTGTGCGTGCCCGCGGGCTGGGGAGACCGGGCCACAGTTCCATCATAACCTCCATTTTTTTCTTCAAGGCTTGATAACTCTGCCATTTTAATTTGCTCCAGGCAGAAACTTGGCAGGCAAGGGCTGCCCAGAACCGGCTTAGGAAAGGAAATGAAGTTCTGTGGCTGGTTCCCGTGCCATCCCCCCACCGCCGCCCGTCCTGGTTCCCTCCGAGTGACCCTTGCCCCTGAGCCGGCCTCAGCCTCTGGGAAAACAGGGAGATGGAAGGGAGGCTCAGCTCACATACCTCCTGATGCTCTCCTCTTCTGAGCAGAGGTCCTTCTGTGTCCCCACGTGACCTCAGCGTGTGGCTCTGTGCTGCATGGGAACCGAGGACCATAGCTAGACGGCACAGGGCCGTGTCCCACCCGTCCATTCTGCCACCCCCAGCCTGAGCTCCAGGCCTGCCCCAGGGCTGCTCAGGAAACATGGGTGAGAGAAGGTGCTGTCTGGGCTCTTAGGAAGGGGTTTGAGCTTCCCAGTACCGTAAAGGGCGTCGGCCCTGATACTGTCCCTGGGCACCTGGGCTTGCTGGCAGTGCCCTGCCAGGAGCTCCTCCCTCTCTGCTCCCAGCTTGGTGCCAGCAGCCGCGTGACACTGGAACTCGGTTCCTTCCGGCTGGAAAGACTTGAGTTGCCTTCTTGCCACCTAGTGCTGGGGACGCTTGGGCCGGTCCCCCAACCTCTTGGGCACATGATTCTGCCTCTGTCCAGGCCCTGTCGCCCAGAGGGAAAGGCCTCATGACATTGTGGTGGGTCTGTTTTTGGTTATATTTACTTACTGAGCCAGGGTCTCATTCCAGGCTGGAATGCAGGGGCACTATCACAGCTCACCGCACCTCAACCTCCTGGGCTCAGGCGATCCTCCTGCCTCAGCCTCTTGAGGATTACAGGCATGCACCAATACGCCCAGCCAGTTTTCTTAATCTTTTGTAGAGACGAGGTCTCGCTATGCTGTCCACGTTGATCTTGAACTTCTGGGCTCAAGCAGTCGTCCTGCTTGGTATCCCAGATTGCTGGGATTACAGGCGCGAGCCACCACACCCGCCTGAGTTTTTGTTTCTTTGGGGAAGGCTTCACCATGAGGCGAGGTGGGGGGGGAGTGTCCACGCGCCATTTGGTTGCCCCTCTGTGCTGGGATGTCGGGGCAGGCCGTGCCTCTCGTTGCCCATCCGTCTTCCTGCCCCTGTCGGCCCTGCAGATGAAAGGCTGCCCACGGCCTCCGTCTATCAGCTCAGATCCATCTTCTAGGGCTCAGTGCAGATTCCACTTAGCAACAGGCATGACATGGGGGGATGGGACCGGGGTGACCCTTGCGCTCAAGGAGCTGAGCCTGCGGCCAGAAGGCAGATGACTCATGGGACGTTAATTATTTAACAGCTGTGGACTTGCTGCAGTGGAGGAGTCCCGGTGCTGCTCTCCCAGGGCACATGGGCTGGGGAGTGGGCGACAGCCTCCCTGGTGAGACTCAGCTAAGCCAGAGTCTTCCTGAGCCGTGTCGCCTGCACTGCGCCGTGCCTGGATGTGTGAGAGACTGGGTTCCCAGATGTTTGACACTGACCCTCCTCTTGCTTCCAGAATAACTCGGTGTCGCCCTCGGAGAGCCTGCGGGCCAGTGAGAAGCACCGGGGCTCGGCCGACTACAGCATGGAGGCCAAGAAGCGGAAGGCAGAGGAGAAGGACAGCCTGAGCCGATACGTACGTCTGCGACACTGGGGAGCCATGGGGGGGGGTTGTGTTGGGTGGGATGGCGGGGGTGGTGTGGGAACCACGCGGCGGCCCGAGCCCTTTGGGGGCTAGGCAGTGACTCGAAGAGACACAGGTAGGGAGAGGCAGCCCTGCTGAAGAGGGTGGGGCTGGGGCTCTGGAGCCGGTACTAGCACCAAGCCTGGGACCCTGGGAGGAGGTCATTCTGGCCTCCACAGGGTTTGAGGAGAGCTGCGCGGCCCCTCCCACACATGGGCCACCTCACCCCTGCTGCTCTCATGGTACTCCCAGAGTCGCAGCCTGCTCCAAGAGCTGTCTCTGGTGTCCCCTTTGGCCCCATAGTCTGCCCCGGTGGGCACCCCCTGGGCCACGGCTTTTCTAGCCTTGTCACATGATGCCCTGGGCAGACAAGACCCTTGGGAGCACAACCATTGTGTCTGCCCTGTGCCGGGCCGGGCAGGAGTGAGAGCTGGGGGTGGAGGCAGCATGGGGCTGGGCCTCAGCAGTCTTGCATTCGCCTCCCCAGCTGTGTGGCCACTCCGTGGCACTGGATGCGTGGCCCCGTTGAAGCCTGCTGCGTGTCTGGGATGGGGCAGGAGCCGGCTGCTGCCTCGTAATGGCGGCGAGGGCAAAACCAACTGAGAAGGGGCTTCTGGTTGTAGAGAGTCAAGTTCAAGGGCTGGTCCTGGGGGGTAGCCTGGAAGTAGAACAAAGGATGGGTGTTGGTGAGCCTGCCCAGGGCCACAGGGAGTGGAGATGCCTGGAGCAGGGAAGGAAGGCCCATGGAGAACCAGCGTGGTGTTGTGGAAGGGCAAAACGGAGTAGGACTGTGGCCCTCGGGGCTGGTGGGAGGATGGGGTGTTGGGCTTGGCCGGGGTGGGAAGGCCGTGACCTCTTACTGGCCTGTTGGCCTCTCTCGGTTGCAGGACAGTGACGGGGACAAGAGTGATGACCTGGTGGTGGACGTTTCCAACGAGGTACAGGCAGGCCAGGGTGCGGGCAGCCTTTGGTCCTAGATGACAGTTTCTCCCTAGGCTGGCATCCACCACGCCTATTCTCGAATTTCCAGCAGCAGCCTGAGCCAGGAGTTGGGCCTCAGTCTTGGGGCTGTCGGGTCAGGAGGGGCAGGGCTTTCAGACAGATCCCAGGGAGGGGCGGCCCCCACTGGCTGTGGTACTGCAGGTCAGCTCCTCTTCTGCAGTGGGGGCTGTGACCCCCTGGGGCCAGGCTAGAGAGGGTCTCCACTTGGCCACGCCCAGCAGTGCCAGCTTGAGACTGGCATTGGGCAGGTCCCTCCTCTGTCCTCACAGGCCTCAGTCTCCCCATGAAGGGCCAGACTAGATGGCTAAGAGCTAGGTTCCCCCCCGCTCGGGTCCCCATCTGTCATCCAAGCTGTCCCCTGTCACTGTGCCCGCCCCTTCCCGCCTCTGGCTGGGGTGCCGCTGCCTCGGTGTCTGACACGCTTGTGTTTTCAGGACCCCACGACGCCCCGGGTCAGCCCAGCTCACTCCCCCCCTGAGAACGGGCTGGACAAGGCCCGGGGCCTGAAGAAGGACGCCCCTACCAGCCCCGCCTCGGTGGCCTCTTCCAGCAGCACACCGTCCTCCAAGACCAAAGACCTTGGTCATGTGCGTGGGGTTTGCCAGCAGGGTGGAAGGGGCTGGGGAGGGAGACGGCGGGAGGGGTTGGGGGTGGAGCTGGGATTGCTGATCAGAGGGTGGGGAGGTGTGGGGAGGACCCGAGGGAGTTGGCCCGGGTGCAGATCCCGACTTGGCCTCCCACTGGTGGGGCTCGCATGTGGAGTTAGCATTTCTGAGTCTTGGTTGCTGCATCTGTAAAATGGGAGGATCCCACAGCCCTGGCAGGTGGGGCTGGGTGGGGTGGGTGGCTGCCTGGTGTCAGGTCCAGGCGGGCCATGCTGGCTTCACGGGCCCCATGCCAGGCATGGTCTGGGTCCCAGGAGAGAGGGGTCCTCACGGCTTTCATGTCTCTGCATCTTCCTCTGCAGAATGACAAGTCCTCCACTCCGGGGCTCAAGTCCAACACCCCAACACCCAGGAACGATGCCCCGACTCCAGGCACCAGCACGACCCCAGGGCTGCGGTCGATGCCAGGCAAACCTCCGGGCATGGACCCGATAGGTATAATGGGTAGGCACCACAGCCGGGCGACTGACAGGGAATGGAGGAGGCTGGAGGGAGACTGCCCGGCCGGGGCTGGAGACCGACACACAGGCATGCATGCACACAGATACACGCACACACACGCTTGCTAGAGCACAGGGGCGTGTCTGAGCCAGGCTCTCCCAGGGCCCTTGTGGCTGCATGGTCAGGTTTGAGGAGGAGTTGGGCACCTGGGCCCTACCCTGACGTCAGGGCTTTCTGGGTCGCCGTCGGGCAGGTGCGTGGAAGGAGTGTCAGACGGTTCAGGGCCCCTGAGATCTGTTCCTACCCTGTCATTTGTTTTGTTAGGCTCTGAACAAGCCTCCTCCTCGGGTCCTCTGTGTCCTGCTCTGTAGAAAGAGATGGGCGCATGTTCCAGTTCCAGGCTTCCTGGGCACTAAAGGCAGAGACCTCAGTTGGGTGGATTCAATCCAAGTGGCCTGCCTGGAGCAGGCAGCCTTGGAAGCAGGAGACTTGGCTGCCGGGCGGAGGCGGCCATGGCTGTGTAGGGGTGGGAGAGGCAGGGTCCCGGTCCCTTTGAGGCTGCCTCCCCAGTGCCGTGTCGACGTGAGAGAGGCCACCTCCCGCTGATGCCAGCTCTCTTGCAGCCTCTGCCCTGCGTACGCCCATCTCCATCACCAGCTCCTACGCCACACCCTTCGCCATGATGAGCCACCACGAGATGAACGGCTCCCTCACCAGCCCTGGTGCCTACGCGGGCCTTCACAACATCCCGCCCCAGATGAGTGCCGCCGCGGCCGCCGCCGCCGCCGCCTACGGCCGGTCACCAATGGTGAGCTTCGGAGCTGTACGTAGACCTTTTGGTGCCTTTCTTGGGACCGGCGCGGCGTGGGGAGCTCGGGGTGGAGCGGCGCCCCCTGCCACGGAGGGGCCCCGGGTCTCGGGACCCAGCTGCCACCCTGGGGGGAGGGAGGATGTGGACCCGGCTGGAAGGACACGCTTTGGGGTCCCCGGCTCCCCTGCACTGGGCTGTGAGCCGTTTGTGACCCCACGCCAGGCAACCCTGGGCTGCCCTTTCCAGGCTGTGGGGAGTGGGAATCCTGAGATGAGTCCCTGGAGCAAGGGTCTGCTAAGCGGGCCCGTTGTCACAGCATGAACCGTCTGTTACCATGATCAGGGTGTCAGGGGGGCGAGAAAAGGGGCCTTTTCCAGGGACCCTTCCTCTCATTGCCTCTCACTCCTGGTGGCCTCCTTTCCACTGGTGGGACCACAGGGACTCTGGGACGGGAAGATGTGAGGCCGCAGCTGAGCAGAGGCAGAAGGGTTCTGGTTCAGCGTGGGGGTCTGCGCTGTCATGCCCCCACCTGCCGCTGTCCTGGCCAAGGCACTTGGTCCTCCCGGGCCCATCTCTGAAGTGATGGGTTCTGCTCTGCTCAGCTGGCTGCCTAGTTCTAAAGAGGCAGAACCAGGCCAGACATTCATGCCTGTAATCCCAGGGCTTTAGGAGGCCAAGGTGGGAGGATCGCTTTAGCCCAGGAGTTTGAGAGTGGCCTGGACAACACAGTGTGACCTCATCTTTGCCAAAAATACACGAATGAACTGGATGTGGTGATGTACACCTGTAGTTCCAGCGACATGGGAGGCTGGGGCAGGAGTCAGAGGCTGCAGCGAGCTACGGTTGAGCCAGTGCATTCTCGCTGGGCCACAGAGCAAGAGCTCAGCTAAAAACAAAAGAACAATGACCCAAAACAGATCCGTGCCGACCCACGGGTGGAGGAGGAGGAGGAGGAGGAGGAGAGGTGGGGTGTTGCCGACCACGGGCCTCCCTGATCTTCCTTATAGGTGGGCTTTGACCCTCACCCCCCGATGCGGGCCACGGGACTGCCCTCCAGCCTGGCCTCCATCCCTGGAGGAAAACCGTGAGTGCTGACGGCGCTGTGACCCACTTGGCAGGGTGGGCAGGGCGAGCCCCCCAGCTTCTGACCGCGGGCATGCCCGTCCTTTGGGACTGTCTGTCCCTCAAGAGGTGCTAGGCCTAGTGCAGCCCCAGGGTACTGCTCCTGGCCCGGTTCCTGACCAGCCACGGGGAGCCCTCTGAGGAGCCGTGGGGGGCACTCGAAGGAATGCTCCTAGCCGGACTGCCCGGCTGCTGTGGCCTCGGGGACTCCCTGCTGGGGATACCCTGGCACTAGTGGCCCTGAGGGCACCCCCTCCCCGCCCTGCCCTCTACCTCCTTGGGCTGTGAGGGACTCAGCGTGATGCCGAGAGGCTGTCTGGCACCGTGCGGCCTCCCCCTCGGGCACCGGCACTGACAGAGAGGCGCCCCCAGGGGCCTGGAGCA